TATATATATATATACATACATATATATATACATACACACATATACATACATAAACATATATATATATATATATACATACGTATACATATATATATATATATATATATATATATATATATAACAGCTTAGATCTATCCATAGTTGGAATGAAGAGGGTTAAAAAGAGTACCTTAAGGCGAAAGTAGTGTCGCTAAGGGGAAACTTAAACGACGTTAAGGCGAAATTATAGATGGTTCTCACCACGCTGGTCGGCAGTGGTTGGGCCCGTCCAGCACTCAACATTTCCGACCAGCATTTTTAGGCTGCTGCGAAAAAAAGCTCCCACTTTTCAACAACGCGCTTGGTCACGCATGACCAAAAGCGTTGAAAAGCTTACTGTGACTATTCCAGGCCAAGCTAAATGTTCGTTGAAGTGGACATGTGCATAGCTCGCGGCAATTTTGAGATATCGTGCAAACAGAAAAGGGGAGAAAGAAAGAATTAAAAAAAAAAGATGATGATGAACCTGACAATAACAAGAGGTGATCCGCTTGTGAAGCGGATCACCAATAAATATATAATATTTCTTAACTAAAAATTATGCTAAAACAATATTCAATAACAGTATTCTCAATCCATCATGCTATTCCAATATAATTTATCTTTAGATATGTGGCAAAGACAAGCCAAACCAATCACTCGCCGCAAAAATTGATTTTGAGTTATTAATACAGTGTTAGATAGTAAAATAATAGCTATAAAATGGTAAAAAAATCATTCAAATCGGACATTTCCTTGTGACGTTACAAGCGTTTAACCACACAGCTGTTTAAAGAACAATATATGAGAAATTAACCATCAAAGTTTATAATTTCAGGCATTTCTCATGCAGAAACTATCTTTAAATCCTTAAAAAGTATTGTTTTAACATTGAAAATGGGGAAAATAACAGCATAGAATGATGTGTAGATATATAAAGGGTAGTTTGGTGCAATAAAATTGATTTTTTTAAATTTGACATTTCAACATGTTTTGGTCATTTTCTCTGAAACACGATTTGCGACGAGTGACTGGTTTGGCTTGTCTTTGCCACAAATAGTGATCTTAATCTGTCAAAATAATCTAATGTAATTTAAGGCCTTTAAATTCAATATCTTTTATTAATTGTGCCAATAAGGTAATTTTGAACGGCCTTTCCTTTAAATTCCAAAGATTTAACACATGACCTAATTTGTACTGTTAAGTGCAATAACAAAGCTCCCTAAACAAAAACTGAGGTATTTGGCGCCCTCTACATTTAGTAAATATTTCAGTTGATCCCATCACATAATACAGGTTACACAATTACTACAAATGCAAATGCCATTTCTGCTGTGACTGGAGACACTTCTGCAGTATCTACAGACTGTAGCTTGAAGGACCATTAGACAGAGAAATTCCAAGTAACTACTTTGATTATTACATACATATATATATATACACACATATATATATATATATTAGTATTATTATTATTATTATTATACCGCTCTGCATAGCATCGAGCACTATACGTTGCCTGAACTGACAACTTTATATTCATTTATATTATAAAGTTCATATATTTTTTATATATTTATTTATATATATATATGCAGCACTGATAGAGATGTTGTTAAAAAACAGATATACGTATACATACATACAGATATATTTATGTATAAATATTGTATTTATTTATATATTTATTTATCTATATATATTATTTTATATATACTGAGTTATATTAATAGATCTATGGTAGTAAGTAATGGTGTCTAGAATAAGTAGTAATGAGAAACATTTGAATTAAATATTCCAAGTAAACGGCACAGGAAAATATCACCTGATCTAAAAATAGAAAAAAGAGTACATTGACTAGATTTGAACTCATCACTGAGGACGAGTTTGGTGGTGATCCGCAGCACTTTGACCCTCAGGAAGCACATGCGGTGCGGATTGAAAAGATTTATATGCTAAAATATGCTCTAATTAGGCTACTACGTTCAGAGATAAGCCTGGCTTAACTTTGTCGGGCGTTCAGACTACCGGGATTAGCCAGGTGCAAGAATTCCATATTAATGAACCGTAACCAAGAAACGTGCTTCGAAACAATGCGCTTGAAACGTACGCTCCCTCACAGCACATATAATTGAATGCTGATTGGTCATTTTTTACCCGAAGTCAATAGAAGCCCCCTCCCCCACTGCGACCCCCCACCCACTGCGATTAAAGCGCTCCCAGCTTAGAAAAACACGGTGGCACGCCAGGCCTTGTTACTATAGGAACACAGCCCGGCTTGAAATAAGCAACCTATTTCAGACTGGCAGGTGGATAAACCCGGTGAGTTGAGCAGGGTTTATCCACCTAGTCTGAAATACGCCTTAGTTTTTGAGTAATTTTGAGCATTTTAAAAGATTTACGCATGTGTATGTATACGTCTTGACGTCCGTGCGCACGATATGATATGAATACAGTGTCACAAACCCAAAATATGTAAAATATAATTTCCAGCTTCAGTACGTGCTGTGCGCGTGAAAATGAGGGTATGGCGCGTAAATTATGGAAAGTTTTGGAATACTGAAAATGACCTGAAACATGCTTTAAATTATCTGAAAAGTGATAGTCACTATTTTCTAAATTTAACGCACAAGTACGAGTACCTTAAGACGTGTCCGAGGACAATAATGGCACACGAAATTAAACCTTGTCAAGTGTAATTTTAAAACCTCCTGTTGGTTGGTAATGCCACACAAATTTTTCCTTCATATAAACTATATCGTATATCAGTCTTATATCGTCGAAATACAGTCTGCCACCCTCTGTTTATTATTCGTTTTACATCTTTTAAGAAAGATAAGGCTCCAAAAAATTCATTCATTTTGACCATGATGACGTCATCAAAATGAAAAATAAAGGGACACTTCCGAAAGAGAATTGTTTCAGCTATAACATACTCGCAGGTGGAAGACAATCGTTCAAGAATAAGCGAAATACGTTCAAAAGAGTAGAAAATAATGACATCATAAATAAAAATTCAGCTTTTTAAAATTTAGATGGCAAAATGATGATGTCACAACGTCCGATCAGCCATAATGATACATAAAATCATATCTACAACTCATGTGCTTTTAGAATATGTAATAAAAATTGGGGGTCACCTTTCATCTTAAGGAGCTATAACTGATTAAAAATAGGCATAATTATAAGCATATACAACTATTGACGCATGCGTACGTGCACATTAAGACGCATGAACGGAAAATTAAGGTACCTGACATTCAACCTTGACTTGAAGTGTGTGCCCATTTAATATGATTCAGAAATGACGAATGGTTAAGATGATTATGGGGTCATCAAAGTTTGAAGGAAGGAAGATGAGTACGTAACATTCAACCTTAACCTGAAGTTTATGCCCCCTGAATATGATTTAGAAATGACAATTGCTTAGAAAGACATGACTGATAATGTGAAAACCCAAAATTGCACGCAGATGACGTCACGCATGACTGAGCACATTGAAAACCTTATTGTGACCATTCCAGGCCAAGCCAATAAAAAGACGATCCTGAAAATAACAAGAGGTGATTTGCACTAGATCTAAACGCTAGTGATTAATGGGACGAACAATTTCTCATAATGATTTTCAAATGTTTAAACGGTCATGCTCTATCATATTTATCGAAAAAAAAAATTTTTTAATTATTGTTTGCATATACATTATACTCACAAATTAAATATAAACTAATTGAATACACTTGGAATAATATGCAAGGTAAAAGGACTTTTGTATGCCAATCTACTAAACTATGGAATAAACTCCCGGATCATACTAAAACCAACTTTAAATCTATGACACTTTCAAATTTTAAGCATTCTATTTCAAATCCTCAATAATACCATCTTAATTTAACCTGATTTTCTCTTACCTTGCATATCCATATTTATTATTAAAATTTTTTATTTTTCTTAAATTTCTTTCAATGTTCCTTTTAAATCTTTTTCAATTTGTAGTTCAGTTATTCAACTTTTTTGGTTACCATGTGTATATATCTGCTTTTAAAATTTTGTACTATGTACTACGTTCTGAAAGTGTATAATCAGTATAAAGAAAGAATAAATAAATAAAAAGATGGTCCTGACAATAATAACAGGTGATCCGCACTAGATGCGGATCACCAAAAAGTCATAAACAATAATTTTAAGGTCCTAAAAAATGTTGATATGCTTTTTAACTGATCTTTCTAAGACACAAAATGCAGATTTAACAAAAAACTTAGGAACGGTGAGATACAGATTTTTGAATTCTTAAAAACGAAGGAAAAGGTAGAATAAAAGTGTGGTTACACCCCTTTTCCCCCAGTTTTTAAATATTCAAAAAGTTGTATCTCATTGACTGTTGTATCTCAGCAGCCTGAATTTATTTCAAATTTTATTCCAAGACCTCTGAAAAAGTAAATATAAATTATTTTAAGGACTACCATCTCAAAAAATACTTTAGAAATCATAGACTGTTTACAGTACTATTTAATTTTTCTGGATAAGCCCCTGATTTAGACAAATCATAGTATAAACCTCTCCCACTCCCCATTCTTTACCTCTTCAATATAGGCCTGATCTAATCAAATAGCAATAACTTGATATTGAGTTTTTGTATTGAAGTACAATAACAAAACTGTCTAAATTTTAGGTATTTGTCGCCCTCTACATTTGTAGTTGTTCACACACTCAAAGAAAAGCAACATAACTACTGTAAATTCCATTTTCACTGTGACTGGGGACCTACAGAATTTAGTTTGAAGTAGTACAAGTAGAAAGAGAAATTCAGGTAACTATTTTGTTTATTATATATTGTAATAGATCTATTGTAAATATAAAAACAATCTTTATTTAAAAATATCAAACATATATAAAATCATGCAACAGTAGCCGAAGCTGAATTGCAAAAAAAAATAATAATTTTATCTTGACATTACAAAAGAATTACAACACCAATTTACACAAGAAAAAAAAATCATAACAGTTAAAGAAACATCAAAACAGCTAAAATCAATAACATGTCGCATAAAGACGGGACTACCCGACAGCACTACTCAATATATGAAACTACCCTCATATAATAATTAGCCTTACTGTACCCAATTATTTTCACCTATCCAATAGTAATTAATTAACTTATTAAAAGAACTGTTTAGTTAAATTATTAAAATAATATATTGTAACTAATTAACTTATTAAAGAAATATTTATTTAAATTATTATATTATCTTTAATGATTAACTATTAAATAATGTATCTATCAATAACAAAATCATAAACTTTCGATGCAAAATGTGTAATAATTCTTTTTTGAGGTGAAACCACTTGTACTAAAAGGTAAGTAATTAAAAACATTTGAAGACACTAAAATTGAAATCATTTATTCCAAGTAGGGTAATACACTTGATGTAAAAATTGTTACAAGGCTGCCGTCCTATGGCAAAACAACGTAACTGATGTTGTATATTTTTTCAGTTACATTGCCATACCTTGGAATGACCGAAGAGTAATCTGAACATGACATAGAAACTATTACTGAGAATGAATGCATATTTTAATTCAGTTTCTTTGTTTCTAAATCTTTAATAATGTCACTGAAACATTAGTGCATTAACTTTGGTTAAGTGACCTATTGACAACTAATACAACACTTTAAATACAATTATAAATTCACTTCTTTCATTCGAGTAAGCCAACTAGATAATAAATAATCTTATACTGCATCAATATACACATGTTGTCAGGTATGTAAAATACTGTATAGATAAATTGGAATGATTGATTGTAATATCAGAATTGGTATTCTAATTACACAGGATATTACTATACATTATCTATTCAAACAGTGATTGTAGGTTTACAGGTTAGTGGGATTCAGAATGGAAGATTTTTTAGGAAGACATGATAGAATATTATGTTATAATAAATATTTTTTTTCATTCACAGGTATATGTCATGATGGCTACAGGAATGTTAAATCAGTGTGTAGAAAGTCTTGAGGAGGAGAAACTGGAGTGTAAAATATGCTTTAAGAAAATTCAAAATCCTAAGTCCCTTAGCTGCCGCCACACCTTTTGCTTGGCCTGTCTGGAAGACTTAGTTGACACAAAGGGTAAGCTAATCTGCCAAATATGCACAGAAGAATGCACTATTCCAGAAAGTGGGCTTCAGGAACTTCCTCAAAATGAATTACTTCAAAATCCTAATAAATTTCAAAAAGGAGATAAAAAGAAATGTGTTTGTGAAAAAGATAACCAAGTAAAATCCTACTGTCTGGACTGCAGACTTCACTTGTGCACTACTTGTACTGACCACCATACCAAATTCCCAGTGATGGCAAATCACAAGCTACAAATGTTGGCTCCAGAAGATCAGCTGCCAGTAAATCCTTTGCTGTGTAGTTCAGTTCATGGTAATTCTTTAGAGTTTTACTGCATACACTGCAAAATTCCAGTAGACTATGCGTGTAAGAATGAAGACCACCAAGAATCCGGAGGGAAACATAAAGTAATAACAATTTCAGAAGCATTTCAAAAATTCAAAGGAACTGCTATAAAATTAAAAGAAGAGGTCAATGACTTTACAAAAAAATTAGAAGAAAGTCTCCAAAAAATTGCTAAAATTGAAGAAAAATTAGAAGACTGCAAAGCCACCTGTCTAAAAGATATTGAAAATATTGTGCAAGAACTGGTATTGAAAATCAATGGGAAAGGAGAAGAAATGAAAAATAAAGTAGAGACAATCTACAAAAAGAAAAAATTGATAAACAGCATGCAAAAAGATGAACTCAGAAAGGCAATATCTGATGTAGAAAATTTATTGGGTGTTCTTAATGATTTAATTAATGGAGATGAAACTATAGCTATGCAATCAAGTAATGAGAAATATAAAGAACTGAAAAGAAAACTTGATGAATCCCCTTACACAGGGCTAAATGATGATGGACAAATTTACTTCTTCAAAAACATATCTTCACTGCAATGGAAATGTGATATTGGAAATGTAACAGAAACAATGGCAGATCGTCTAGCACTAATAGGGGGACACGAAGTGACCCAAGGTCAGCCAATTGTTGTCAAAGTATGCAAAACTGATGAATATGAAATAGAAGCAAACCAAATGAGTGCAGAATGGATACATCCAACAGGAGAAACCAACATTGCTAAAGTAGATGATGATGGAAATGGAGATTATACTGTTACAGGAAAGTGCACAAGCCCAGGTATATGCAAACTAGATGTGCGTGTTGGTGGTGAACCAATCAGACAGTCACCAATGAGCATAAAAGTAAATAAGGAAGGACTGGTACACACCATTAAAATAGAAGAACGCATTGTTTCAGATGTAATTTTGTGGGATGGCAATCACATGCTCATTTCTTGTCGGACAAAATACATTTTCGTGTACAAGGATTCAGGAGCATATGTTGGTAAGATTAAATTACCAGAAGGTGTAAAAGTTAACAGAATGTACAAAATGAAAAATGGTAACATAGTATATAGCGACTATGGTAATAAATTCATCACAATATATAATAAAATGAATGGTCAAGTGATTAAAACCATTGGTCAGGGAGAATTAAGTAATCCCAAGGGTCTCCATGTAGATGAGTCATCAAATGTTGTATGTGTAGCAGATTGGAATAATATCTGTGTGTTTAACATTGATAGTGGCCAGATGATCCGGCGTATACAGTCAGAACGCAATGTCCCTGACATTACTGTCACCAAAGGAGGGAATGTGATTGTATTATATGATCATCAGCCTAATGCATTGAAATTTCAAAATACAAAACAACAATGTATATTACAAGTACTTGACAATGAGTTTAAGTTTCTGAAAAACATTGTGGCCGCAGAGGGGAAGATGAAGCCACGTGGAGTTGCAGTGGATGCGGACGACAACATCATTATTTCAAGTCAAGACAAACTGGAACTATTCAGTAATGATGGAAATTTCATTAAAAGAATTGATAATGAAAAGGATGGAATCAACATTCCATGGGGATTATCCATCTCAAATCATCCACGGAGAGTTGCAGTAGCAAACAATGGAAAAGCGACAATACAAATATACAATTATTAAACATATTGATAGCTCATGTGAGTTGTTGATAAAAATATTGGATGAAAAAAATAGATTTAGCAAATTTTGATGTATAAACATTTTTGACAAGTTTTTTCAACTTTTGTAGAGTAAAAAGTTGGTGACCTGACTTAAAAAATAGTTGCAGGAAATTAATGAAAAGTGTTGTGAGCGAGTTTAAGACGTGGGTGTGTCATTCTATCCCAAATAACTTGGGCCTACTGTAGAGTGAAAAAAAAGTGCAAGTCCAATGAGCATACAAATAATATTTGGGACTGTATGTAAGTGATATGCATTTTTTTCTATGCTGACTCCTCCTTTGATTATTATTTATTTAAAATCAAGTTCTATTTTTTTAATGAATATTTGCATTGCTTATGTAACAGTTTATTTTAATGTGTTTAAGTGTGTTAACTTAATTTACTTACTTTACTTATAGTCCTCTTTATCCCCTTTGGGACATAAGGCTACAACTTACTTAGGCGTGATGTCCAAAATATTCAAAACGACAGAAATGCGTTGGACGCGTCTGAGTGTTAAACGGCGTTTAATGATCACGAATATGCTCATTAACTTGGTAGGCGTGACTCCCATCTGAAAGTTAATTTCAAAATGTCAAGTTTGGTAGAGTACGGTATATCACGTATCTTGGAGTAGGGCTATTGCGTATAAATTACCTTCAGTTATCAGCCGGATCTCATGAATCACTTGATATTTTTTTGTATTATAATGTGATAAACAAACAAATACAATGCACACGATTTGCTTAAATGACTATGAATTGGAGTATTTTAAGGATATGAAAACAATCTTGTTTTATGGTGACTTTATGGCTCAAATGTTTAAAATAATAACTTTTGACAGTCCAGTTTTACGTGCAATTGTATGACCTTTTTGCTTACAAAAATTAATAGTAAAGTAGTTGTTTAAATTTTTTTATAACGGTCCCTTGTTGGACATTAAGAAATTGAGATTCTGAATCTCGAAAAGGAAACTTCATCTTTATATAAAATACATTCCGTATGTAGTGCCGGTACATTCCTTTTGGTTTTTGTTTTTTTGTTTTGTTTTTTCTTAAAGAACCAGTAATATTCTGCTCTGGCCCAGTTTCCTTATTTTTTTGGGCTCCATTCCAAGTTCAATTTTTTTCTTCTTATTTTTATCTTAGTATACACATATTCCAAACAGGTTAAAAGATATAGGCCTAGTATTTGTGATAGTACTGTATTTGTATTTTGTTTGTTTGTTTTTTTGTTTGTTTTTTTTTTATATAATAATTATATCGTGCCACAACATGACTACATGTATACGTTTAATTCTTCCACCTGTCTCTTATACACATCTAGATGTGTATAAGAGACAGCCCATAGTACATCACAAAAACCCCAGAAAGAATCCTTATCTTAAGTTTCAAAAATAAGTCTGTTACGAAAAGAAGCCCATATAATGAGTTTCTCTAATCAAGGGAATGGGTTTCTTACGAGATAAAATCAAATTCTTTTATTAAAAATTAGGCCTATACAACAATCAATTGGCAGCCGAAGCTGAATTGCAGTATTGTTATTTACAAGAATTACCGGTATCAAATATAATACAACAAAAAGACAATTATATAAAATCTGTCTCTTATACACATCTAGATGTGTATAAGAGACAGCGTCGTAGTCATCATCATCATGTTGGCGAGGAACTATGGTACTTGTTTTATCTACAGATGGAATCGCAGTAGGGTCTTTTTTTCTTCTCTTCGGGTCGTTGCCATCAGTTACTTCTTTTTCTATCACTATATCATCTTCATTTCTGCCTTTCTCACTCTCCTGTTCATCGATGTCTTCATCTGGTACACTTTCCGTTTCCTTCACCCCCTCTTCATTCTCATCTACATCTTCCTTGTCTTCTCTGTCCTCAACTTCTTTCTCCGTATCTTCCTTTCTCTCCTTGATAGCGTCGTTTTCTACCACATTTTCTATTTCCTCATTTTTGTTCCCCTCCTCCTTATCTTCTTTCTCCTCAGTGGCAGTGTCATTTTCAATGCCTTTTTCTTCGTCGTCCGCCTCATCGAATTCTAAAACTACAATAAAATAATAATGTGGATTATGTAAATTATACGTCAACAGTTATTGAATTATAATTTTATAAAATATGTTAGGCCTGCATAAGATTATTTACGGAAAGGTTTGTTTTATCTACATGCTGCCTGTTGGGAGTGTGAATAACGTTTGTTATAAAGATTAGATGTGTATAAGAGACAGGCTTCTAAACACACACGATTGTTAAACCACGTTTAACACCACGGTTAAACGATGTTTAACGCGTTTATTGAAAAATCACTCGAGCATCACATAGGAGGCGGAGCAAACACATGTCTGTGCATACCGAGCTTGTTAAACGCTCAAGCGGTTTAGAAAATCAAACGCTTCTCAGAGAACAATAGAAAACGCGTCAGACGCATTTCTGTCGTTTTGAATATTTTGGACATCACGCCTTAATTTACTTACTTTTATATTTTTCATCATAGTAGCTTTTAATTAATCTCTATTTAGCATTAATTTCACATTGATAATTCAGTTTTAATTAGATTTCAGTTCCTGCTTTTGTTGCTGTAGCAGACTAAAATGAACATGCAAAATAACTATGTCTTTGCAAGTAAAATTTTACGTTTGTCGTAATTTTACTTCAGACTGAATGTTGGCTGAACAAAACTTTTAATAACAAGGACTTACTTTCAAGAATTTTAAGTATTTTAAAACTTGATTTCTCTTTCTACTGTATTACTGTATTTTAGCTTTATCATAATTTTTTACTTTTATTAATTAACAACTTTTTAGTTTTGATTATTTAACCACATTTAGTTCTCAATCAGATAATCAAGGCTGACATACAAAAAGGGGGGACTGAATATAGTAATTATTTAGCATTTCATAATTACCCAATCCAACAGTTGATTATTGTATAACAACTTATTCCAATGTGTAGTTTGCCATAATTTGACAGCATCCATATCTCAGAACATACTTATTCAATTCTAGAAATGTTGACCAGAATGTTGACCAGTCTGTGGTCACTATCAGTTCACTGCACTGTTAATGTTACCAATTTTAAAATGCCAGGCATGCCAACCCTATCAGGCCAACAAGAGGGGTCCGAAAAACTTCTGAGCGGAGTTTTGGCAATGTGAGACGACTAATTCTTCTAATACCCCATTCAGACTAGCATCGTATTGCCATCAGTTGTAGCAATTGCGACACCAATCGCACACAATTGCAAAGTAAAATCGTGTGTGAAAGCTCACCAATAGCAAGACCTGTTACTAATGTGATCGGATTGTAAAATGTAACCGTTTTGACTCACAATCAGCAATATCACCGTGCAAGATTAGGCCCTAGGCCCAGGCAGAAAATCAACACCGCACCAATCACAACAAGCACACCGTAGGCATCACCTACAGTAGTTTTATTATCTACGCCTACATCCATATAACTCTCATCAGACTCCATTTTCGAAATCGTGCTTTACTAGCCTAGACTGTTGTTGTTACGAGTCAGTAGACCATGGAGCACTATACATTTCAGAGTGCAGTGCAACTCTGATATCAATTTGGCCAATGAAATTTGTTTTTTTTTTAAATCAGTAAACCATGGAGCGCGAATTAATTTTTCGTATACAGTTCAGAGTGCAACTCTGACAGCGATTTAGTCAATAAAATTGTTTTTTTTCTAAATCAGTAGACCGTAGAGCACAAATTACTATTTCATATGCAGTGCAGAGCGCTGTTTTCAGGAGGAAATTAAGTGGTCTTGTTAATCTAAATCATAAAATTATGATTTTTATTCGGAAATGCGCAATATATTTCAGCTGGCCAAAATGCATAAAAAGCGGAGATTTTCGATCCAAAATCTGAGTGCGGAGTTTTGCTTAAATAAACAGAGTAACTCCGCCAAAATCGGAGTGGTTGGCATGTCTGAAATGCACTGAGAAGTTAGTTGAATCTATAGCATCGCTTGTTGGCTTATAGCAAACCTATATATTGTTTCTTGTATTTTGTCTGAAACTGAATATATTTAAAACAAATATTCCATGAGAGCTAAAACCACTGTATTTAAATACAAAATACCAATTACAAGTAAAAACTAAAAAAATATAAATTTTAAACATCAAAAAGGCACTCATTCATATACGTTTAATGTTACGCAGCACACTTTGATTATAGTATATATTCGTTTATCCTAAATCTAGTACAGTAGAAACCCTCATTTCCATGCGGGACAAGCCAAAAGACGATCGTAAAAATCATTTGTAAAAATATCAGGGTTGTGTGAAATTCCTATGTATTTACGCTACCGATATGTTAGGCTGGGCTAGGCTAGGCCAGGCCTGGACTGGAATTTGAGGCATGTTGTGGCAAATTGGCTAAGTTGTAGCAAAAATTGAAATTCAAGTTATTGGTATTTTCAGATACCTGAGTAAGTGATCTTTAAAAGGAGGGGTCAATCAGAAGTCTAAGTTACTGGAAAGTGAAAGTACAAGCACTGTTAGATTCAAGATAAACATGATTTTGAGTAATTGCCTTTCAAAGTCATTTGTGCATATAATAGAATTAACTACCAAAATAATGTTAAAATAAATGAGTAGCTAATAACTTTGGGACATGATTTATAAGACATTAAACTGTTGATCTATAGTGAAAAACAAATTTGGATGTAATTTTTTTAACTCCCATATTTTATAGCTCATTTACTGGCTTGTGAGACAACTTAACCATTTTGCCATGACATGCCTCATTTTGTTGGATTGGAGCCAAAAATCTGACTTGAGCTCGAAAGAAATTCAAAATAATGATTGTAATAATGTACATACTTGTCAATGTCTATACAAACTTTTTTCTAATGCAGACGGTTTATCTTCTAGCTTACGAAGAAATACCGCGAGTGATGCACACAGCGCTTTTCACTTGATCCACGTGCTGTGTGGTGTCAAGTAAATAAATACCCCGGAAACCGGAACCAGGGGTTCATAACTTATTAAAAGAGCGCTGGTTGGACACAGCTCTTGGACATGTTATTTTTTGTATACAATACGATCGTACTATGCCTACAATAAAATGTATGTAACGAATAATGAATTTAAAAAGAAAATGTGGGTGTCGGTGTCTTATTTTAAAGGGAAAACAATGAATTGGTAGATTAATTAACATTAGTGAAATTTGATAAAATAAATAAAATACATTTTTATTTGGGGAGAGGGTTTATCATTAAATTACAATATGAAGGTGATGTATTCAGATGTTTTGTTGTGTGTGTTTTATGAGGGCAGGGGCTTTTTTTCATAATCCAGGCAGAGCAAAATTTCTTTTGTAAATTTGGTTTCCCTGAAAAGGGTCATTTTGGTTTGGAATCTTTTAACAATCTGATGGCTCAACTGGAAAAGTTGGAAATCCGTTGC